CTTCGCAAAGAGACATTTTCAATTACCCAAACCTTCTAAATTGTGAACAGTTTGAGTCTCTATTATAAAATTGCAAATTACGAATAACCAAGACAGATTTACAAAAATTCATTTTGTAAAATTGCAAATTTCCAAAAAAAAAAAAAAATCTTTTTGACATAAGATTTTATACTAAATTATTATATATACTTGAAGTAGAATCAAACTTGGACGCAAGGGCTTAAATTCGCATGTAGCTTATGTCCAAAAAAGTTAAGCTGGTGAAAGATAAAGAGTAATTTCTTTGGAAAAATCACAGTTCGACGATAAATTTTTTATTTTTGAGAAAAATTTCAATGATAGTCGCACATCAAACTTGATAACACTAGATGAGATGGTCAATTCGTACCTGAATGTAGTTAGTTAAAAATGATTACACTTAACTCGCTCGAAATGTCAATGCAAAAATGCCTTTTATCATGCAACTTCTATCTCTTAATGAAATTAATTCATTTCTCTTGCTAAAATCTTTATTCTTCTAGTTTTATAGCACCACCGTAATTGTTATCAATTTCCATAATACAAAGGAATGACAAAATTGATATCTCATTCCTCATTAATCTGAACTATAATAGTAATCAACAACAACATACATAATAACAGAAAAATAATAACACCATGTAATCGAGTAATTACTTAGCTTTGTAGACCTAACTATTTTGCAAAACAGTGACGGGCAGCCTGAAGGCATCACTCCATGAAAGCAAACCTCTTTCCAAGGAGAAAAGCATCAAAGAATGAATTATTATTATTATTTTTTGGAATATCCCAATCACAATCACAATCACAGTATAAACAAAAATCAAATGAACGCGTTTTATAGTATCTCCAGAATTATTGCAATGCAGAGACAGCGCGTTCAATGTGTCGCAATATGGTTGGTCCACTTGTCAAATCATCATTCGTTTTAGATGGAAAAGTTTACAAGATAATTGCAAATTAATTAAAAGGATTTGTGGCCACAAACAAGAATTTGATTAGCGAAACGTACTCATTGTTTATGTATTAACTTATTGCTTAAGTGATCAAATTGCTCAAGAAATAAAACTGATGAAATTGATAGGATCTCATATTTGAACGTTAAGTCACGTCAATATCTTTTGTTGATTTCTTTATAGAAAAACAAAGACAGAGTAAAAGTGTACAAGGAGAGAAGAAAATGGAAGAGGAATTTGAGAAAAGAAAATCCTACTCTGAATACTACACCTAAGCAGTTTCATCAATCTTAAATATTGTTTAAGTTAATATCTTTCTAGTACATTAATCAATATCAATTAAAATAGTTATGTATTTTCTCAACGTCAAGTATACCACGTATGTTTATTGTTGGAGAATATGTTTCAAAGCGAAGAAGTATTATAAGATGTAAAATATTTAAGGAAGTTCATACACAATTTAAAACGTGAGAATTATAAACAGAAACGTAACTTTAATTAGATTATTCGTATCATCATTACATGAAACAAAAAGGCATAAAACATAATCGAAATAGAAGAAATGCACCCGCCATTGAACCCCGTGGGCCAACAAAACCATTACAATTCAATTGATGTTGAACTCAAAATTCTGGTCGGCACGAACATGAACTTTGCTAAGTTTTAAACTCTAATTTTCTATTAATTAATCGTCTATTAGTCTCTCTAATCAAAACCCACTTTGACTCGTAAAACACAGTAAACACACAGGTGTTTCTCTGTGTGCCCCGCTGCCACCGCAACACGTCATCCAATACCACTTCCACGTGTCCAAGTCGGCTTGGTAGTCCCCACAGACTTCACTCTTCCGCCGACGATAAACTGTCCGTAGACACGAAACAGTACACTGAATCAACATTGACAAATATCCAGGAAGCCGCATCACCCAACCCCATCTCTCCACGTGTCCATGTAGGCCTATCCAGTGAAGTGCACTCCAAGTCAACATGGGAACGTGGACTCCTAATATCCCGCCACGTGCCCTTTATCTCCCTATATTGTTGCAACGCTCGCTACTCCTCCTCCCATTAATTCCGTGAACAAAAACAGAGCCAAAACGGAGAAACACTTCTCTTCCGAGTCGAATTCTACTCCAAGTCTATGTCCCAAAACAGAGCAAAAACAGAGATCCTCTGTTTTTCCGCATACAATTGCATCGATGAACCCGAAATTCGATAGCAGCGACCGCCGGATTCTCACGTTTCCGGCGGTGCGACCTTGCGAATCTATTTCTCTGGAGACCCTTCTCGAGTCTCTGATCGCTCTCTCCCACACCATCTGCAGTTTCCAATCGAAATGCTGTGTGACGCAATGGAGGAACAGCCGGGAAGCAATTCGGCAAGTTCGTGTTCTTCTCATGTTCTTTGAGGAGGTACGTGAATGCAATTCGGTTCTTCCGAAATCGTCTCTTGTCGTCTGCTTCTCCGAGCTTCATTTCGTCTTCCAAAAAATTCGGTTTTTATTGGAGGATTGCACGAGGGAAGGTGGTCGAGTTTTGATGCTGACGAAATGCGAGTTTCTTGCGACTCAATTTCGGTTTCTGATTCGAGCTGTGGCGACGGCTCTCGATGTTTTACCGTTGAAAGCGATCGATGTTGGCGATGAAGTTAAGGAATTGGTTGAATTGGTGTCGAAGCAATCGTGGAAGGCCAACATGGAGCTCCAAGCGGGTGACAGATTGGCTTCGAAACGATTGCTTGCGATTCTGAACCAATTTGAAAAGGGAATCGAGCCCGATTTGAATGCCGTAAAGCGGGTCCTCGATTACCTTCGAATTAAAAGCTGGAGCGCGTGCAACATGGAAATCAAATTCTTGGAAGAACAAATTGCTATCAAGCGTTTCGACCGGGAGGACATGGATGTTCCTTTTCTAAGTAGCTTGGTGGGGTTCATGAGCTACAGCAGGGGAGTGATTTTCGAAGCATTGGATCATCAAAACCCCGCGAATCAAATCGATTCCAGGTGCGACGCGGAGATGTTTCGTTGCTTAAACCCTGAAGATTTCAGGTGCCCGATTTCCCTTGAGCTAATGCTTGATCCGGTGACTGTATCTACAGGTCAGACGTACGATCGAAATTCGATTCAAAAATGGCTCGACGACGGACACATGCTCTGCCCCAAAACAGGAGAGATGATCACGAACACAGAGTTGGTACCGAATTCGATTCTCCGAAGGCTGATAAAAAACCTTTGTGAATGCAACGGCATTTCTCTCGGCAGGCCAGGAAGCAAAAGCGCCGACAAGGAAAAAACGATCGCACCTGGTAGCCCGGTTGCTAAACAGGCAATGAGGTTTCTCTCGAGATTTCTCAGCGGAAGGCTTGCTTGCGGAACAAGCGAACAGAAAAACAAGGCTGCTTATGAGATTCGATTGCTAGGCAAATCAAACATTTTCAATAGGTCTTGTTTGATCCAGGCTGGCTGTATCCCTCCTCTGCTGAGGCTATTGAATTCCGCTGATGCATCCACGCAAGGGAATGCAATTGCAGCCTTGTTGAAGCTCGCGAAATACGCAAGCGGAATGAAATTGATAATGTCATGGGGAGGCCTACCATCCGTTGTTGCCGTTCTTAAAAATGGGTTGAGTTTAGAAGCCAGACAAAGCGCAGCTGCAACGATGTTTTACCTCTCTTCGATGAGGGATTCTCGGAAACTAATCGGAGAAATGCCTGAGGCCATCCCAGCTCTTGTGGAGCTGATCAGGGAAGGAACAACGTGTGGGAAAAAGAACTCCGTGGTTGCGATTTTCGGGCTGATCCTCCTTCCTAGGAATCAACAAAAAGTGCTGGACGCGGGCATTGTTCCATTGCTAGTTGACATAATATCTTCTTCGTCACAAAACCCTGATCAGCTCGTTGATGATGCATTATCAATTCTTGCAATTTTGGCTGAAAATGTCGTAGGATCACACGAAATCCTCCACGCCAGTTGATTTGCAATTGATCATCCGCCGTTCTTCAAACTTCGACATCCCCAAAAGCAAAAGAGTATTGTGTTTCAACATTGCTGTCTTTGTGCATCAATGGCGGGGAGGAAGTTGTTGCTGTTTTGGCAACGGAATCATCACTAATGCCTGGACTCTTTTCGCTCTTGACGGATGGAACATCTTATGCGATAAAGAAATCGCGCTCCCTCATCAAAATTATCCATGACTTTCGTGAAGCTAGTACATCAAGATGGATGAGTTCTGCAGTTCGGCGCAAACATTGCGTCGAGGAACGGTGATTCATCTCGATTTTGCATTTTGCATCTAAAATACATTCATATATTGGTGTAAATATTTGAAAGTGATTTTTTTAGTTAGGCTTTTTACTCTTTGATTCTCAAGGAAATCAGCTCAATTTTTTTCAAGTTCCATATGTGACCATGTTGCTTGTATATCATTGTATACAGTTGATTTTGGTTTTTCTTGTGGTGGTAGGAGAAATTTTTCATTTTGACTAGAACACGGGGTACATCACGTGTTTTTATATAAGTGGTGATAAATTTTATTTATTAAGTTATTAACTTTTTAACACACATATCTCATAATTTGTATTGTGACATGTGGTGTACCATCCCGTGTAACGGTGATCCTAAAAAACCTCTCGTGGTTGTAGATAGGATTTGATTTGTTTTAAAATATATAAATGATGAGACAAAAATCAATCCCAATTGTGAAATTGTTCAAATACTAAATATCGACAACATAATAATCAGGGGCGACGAAAAGAGATAGCACACCGGGGATAAACAGGAAGTATCAAGAGCTTCGAAGTACATAGTACCACTAGGTAACATATGATCACCAGCTTGACAAACTGTATCGTGAGTATAGCTGCCACTTAGTACTACGATGTCTCGCAACAAATATATTCTTCTACCCCTTAATGTAAATTTATTCTTGTATTAAAAAGAAATGGGCCCAAGACTTAATCTTAGAGAGCTCAACCCACTCGGATTTAATCTAACTTTATGTTTCAACAAGGTTGGGAGGAGCTGAAACCGACTTTTCCCACAATACGTCGCCGTTTATAGCTCACCTTCGGCTTTAAGCTCTTCGACTGTTGAGACTTCACGGTAAAAACCCAGAAGGTTCCCACGTAAAATCCCTAATTCCCAATATTTCAGATTCTCCAATCCCTCTCTCTCTCTCTCTCTCTCTCTCTCTCTCTGTAAGTTCTACTTGTCCTTTAATTTGCTGTATATTTTTTATTCTGATTTCGCGGAATTTGAAAGCTGAATCGGACTTTTGCTGTGTTAGTTCGCGCTTGGAGAACTGAGATGGCGGCGGAGCCCCAGGCGGTGACGGAGGTCGCGAAGATGGATCTGTTCGAAGACGACGACGAGTTCGAGGAGTTTGATATCAACCAAGGTATTTAATTTTGCACTTCAATACGTGGGTCAATTGTTTAGCCTTAATTTCAATTCATTCTCATTTAATTCTGAGGGTTTCAACCGATTGGAAATTTTTGAAATTGACTGTTAGTGCGCGTGTTTTTTAATTGATTTGGAGTTTTTTGCAATGTCTCAGCTTGCATTAGCCATTTAGTTGGTGGATTTAAGTTTCTGGGTCTCTTAGTTTTGATCCTCAAGTACGCTAAAACTGTTGAAGTTCATTTTTTGATGTTGAAATTGGTTATTTTTGTTTCACCATTTCGGATTCGTTAATTTGACGAAGAATTCGAATTGGGTAAATTTGTTTTAGACCTCATGCTTGTCGAATTTTAGTTCACTACTTTGGAGATTGAGCTGTTCTAGTTGTGTTCGGTATTGTCTTGTAAATTTCATTTGCGTAAGCACGGTGCTGCTCTGCATAACGGGTTTCGGTTTAGAGAACCTGCATTGCTTTTACTTATGGTTCATACTGGTGTGTGTATGCTTGCAATGCTGATCAGGTAGGAGTTATGCCTCGTTCTAACTTCGTCTTGTTTTGTTTATGAACAATGACAGAATGGGAGGACAAAGAGGAAGGCAAGGAAGTGACACAGCAGTGGGAAGACGACTGGGATGATGACGATGTTAACGATGACTTCTCCCTGCAGCTGAGGAGGGAACTTGAGAACAATACTGAGAAGAGCTCAGCTTAGTCTGCAGACTACGTCTGAGGTTTTATTTGGTTTGTGCATCTTTGCATTGTTACCTAGTTAGTTTTCGTTGAGATAGAGTTTCTTGATATATTTCGTTTCAAAACAGTATCTTCCTGTTAGCAGATGTAAAACCGTGTTGACCTTTCCAATGTTCTTTTGTATTAAAGGCCCAAGATCTTCTGGTTTGAGCTAAGTTTGAGTTTTGCTTAGAATCACAAGGGTTAAGCTTGTCTATGTGAACGTGAAATCTTGAGAGCGCGTTGCATTCGGTGTTTCGTAGAAGATAAAAGTAGAGGGGATTTACACGTAAATCCCCTCTACTTTGGAAGCTAACATGTTAGGATCCGTCATTTCATTCCTGGTCTTCGTGAGTTGAAAATACGGTGCTTTTGTAGTTGTAGCGTGATCATGAAGGTGTTGGTATAGGAATACCTTTCTTACCCGAAACTTCATGTTGTCTGAAAACCCGCCATTAAGGTCCGGTGACATGCCTATTCCACCAAGAAGGAAGAAACGGTCATCACATATCTTCGTAGCTGTGTACTTGACTGATTGGTTTGTTCGTCGTGCTTTTTCCAAATTAACTCATCCCTTTGGGTCTTCATGGTTTGCAAAAGGTGATTGTTTTAAATACATGAAATGGAGAAGCTAAGGTGGCTCTGTCCCAAGCCTATCACGCATCCTCATCTGTTTTGAACGACGTGAGATCGCATTATTGAAGCTAAGGTGGTGCTGTCCAACCCTATCATGCATCCTCATATGTTTTAACAACGTGCGATCGCACTATTGATTTGAAATAACGCCAGCTTGGTGTCTCCGTTTATGCAAGTCCTCGAGGCTTAGGAAGAACAACGGAGCAAAACTTGTTCTTTTGCCCCCTAATGCAAGGCAACCGTCGAGGATTTGCAATCTATTGTGCCTTCAAATCTCCATCAGCTTGTCGCGAAAACCAAATTCCTTTTTTTCTTCCACATATAAATTACTTGGTATATAATACTTTAAGCAGAACCAACATTGAATTCTTTAGGAAAAGGGGTATGCAAGCAAGAAACTTTTTACAAAGACATCACTACTAACAATGAAAACAAAACATAAAACAACTTGCCTTCTACGACATTTCGATTGCGCCCGAAACGCTGCTTTCCCCTCCCAAACTCACATCAATCTTTGGAGTTTTAGCACAAGTCCGACACACCGGACAAACAGGAGTCTTGAGCAGCCATGAATCTATGCATTGAGCATGGAAGCTGTGCTTGCAATTTGGCAGCAACCTGCATTTTTCACCTCCCTTGAAACTTTCCAAGCAAACTGCACAATCCCCAGGGCTAGTAGTAGTCCCTTTCTCTTCTGCCTTGTAGTCGAAGCAAGGCAGCATGTTGAGTTCCTCGTTGGACATCCTTCTGATCCCAAAAATGCTGCTTCTTTGAACCAGATTAACACCTTGATTATTGGCTCTGTTGAATGCTCTCCCAACAATACAAACATGAATTACCACTAAAACAACAATCCCCACGAACAGTAAGATCACAGAGATTAAAATCTCCATTCCCATAACCCTAGAAATTGTACAAAACCCAGAAAGATTTGATCTTTTGTTAGAAGACCAAAATCCCAGAAGATTGTTTTTACCTCAAAACCTATACAACACAAAACCCAATAAGCTGTAAGCTCCTGGAATGGCTAAAAGCGCATCTGACTGCTTTTGACAGAGAAACTCAGCTCCCACCAATTACCAAATGCTTCTTCAGGCGACGTTCCAAGTGATTTTCTTGAAAGCAAGCATTCGGATTTCTAATAAAAAAATTCCAACGCACTTCTAGCAGAAGTGCTTTCTAGAGAAGCAATCCTACACGAGCCCAGAAGCTTTTGAAGGCCACCTCATGCATCAAAACCACCGATCTTATCTGGAAAAAACGCAGTTTTGAACAGACTGGTTCAGGTGGCTTGAAGAAACTGAAACAGAAGGAAAGAACAGAAGCTTAGCATATGTCTTGGGGTTTGAGTTTTGGTTGAATTATGTGGCAGTTTTGTAGTTACAAGTGGGCTGCTTCTGTCCCTTTGTGCTAGTAAGTTACAGATAGAGAGAGGATGCAGATTCCAGGCCTTATCAATAATCATAATATTTTTTTTTCTTTTTTTATAAAGGAACAGAAAATGACACATTTGACTCTTGAGAATTGAGGCAGAAATGTTTTAATCAGAGTTTAGACTAATCGAGCGGATTAGTCCAAAATAAGAAGTAATCTACGGTTTAAAAATAATGAAAATTTGGTTAAGCTCTCCGATTGAGAGAGAGGGCAGAGAAAGTGGAAACAACGTAAAAGTGTGAGGGCCCGGAGGTTTGGCCTTGTCTGGGAAACTTGCAAAGTGAAATTAGGTACGTTTATTAATGGAACCGGCTTATTTGGATCTGTTTGTGTTGACTATAAAAATTACAAAACCTACGTGGCGCGCAGGCCGAGTAATTAATAAGCTAACTACGTCCTTCGGTTGAATGCGGGGCATGCCAACTCGTCGGCCGAGCTCGGCCGAGGAGTAAAATTTGATGTTGTCGCGTTGGGTACGCTGTTGACTTCTGTATCTTGCGATTGCGACCGAGGAAGGAACACTCTCGGCCTCTGGGTTCTATAGCCTGAAGACAAGGCTACTAATTCTACGGAGTTCACAAGTCGTCGGAGCCTGATTCGGTCACTGTGATTATATTTGTAAGAGTATAAGCACGCCGAATCGAGACCAAACTATATGGACACAGGTACTCGAATGTGATATATGTCTTGATGGTAAACGTAGTTCGGCCGTCGGAATGCCGAACCCTGAAGCTTACTTGCGAGTATCCAATCATAAAACCACTCGGCGTCCAATGCGCCGAGCAATGCAATTCGTGACACCCAACTATGCCAGAAGGGCTTAGTAGGATGACCTCCACCAACAAAGGTTCGAAAACCCTTCTCGGCCGAGACTTAGATAGATAATCGGTCGACCTCGACGCAGTGCTGTTTATCCAAACTGAAGGTGCACCTCGGTCGGCTGATTCTGCGGCAGCAGTGTTGTTTATCCAAACTGAAGATGCTCGCCGGGTGCTTCCACAGTGCTGTTTATCCAAACTGAAGGTGTGTTGGCAGGAAAAGAAAAGGAAAAATCTCAAGGTGTTTGAGAGGTTTTGCGCAGGGCAATTGTATGCTGATTGTGAAGGGGCCTTTTCTATTGCGTAATTTCTTGTATTTATAGCACCTCGTTCCCTGAAACCCATTCGGATTTGGATTGGGAGTCCTTGTCCCATTTTACCTCTAGCTCGAACAATCCTACCCCCTCTGGGATTCTGAATTTTCCTCCTTTTGAGACTTTATTTCTTGCTGGTCGAGAATCCTGGTCGTACTAGGACTTCCTCGATCCTTCTACTCATCTGGACCTCTTAGGATAGGATTCGGCCGACCCTGCCAACTGGCCCAGGTTTTATTATTCGGCCCATAGTATTTGTCATTACCTTGGGCCGAGCACATCTTGCTGCTCGGCCCAATCATAATATTTTGGGCCCAAACAGTTTGATACGGTTCGGTTTTTACGGGTTGGTGAATTTGTTTTCAATCATATATCGTATAACAAACAACAATACAAAACAATCTATGTGCGTTTCTGTTGCCAGAGAATTATGTCTAACAAAGTCAATACCAACACATGTTTGAAAGGAAGAAATTTGATCGTTGTGAACCACTATTAAAATGACAAGTGCTAAGACAACCCTCAAATGGTCCGAGCCGGGTAACCCGCACATAAGAAATATGAACTCAATTTTGGAATCGGTTTTATACAAATTGGGTTCAACTCTGACCATTTTAAAAATCAAAAGTAAGAAACGGATGGTTTTACATTGGATTTGGTTACACGGTCCGAATTCACAATTCTGAAGATCCGTATGCTCACCCCTCAATACTTTATATTTAAGTCGGGACAAGAATGCTAAATCCTAATTATAGTTTGAAATATGTCCATAAACTTTTATCATAATGGTTTTGGAGACTTAATTTTGCATTTATATCTATTGTGACTTGCAAGTATAAAGAAATGACTCCTTATATTTCTTGATGATAACTTATCATTGATCCGGTTGATTTAAACAAAAGCTAAAGAAATTAGATTTTGCTCATCAACGAATTGGATTTTCTTAAAACGATGTTTGTATAATCAAACTTGTACAAGACATGAGTTTGCTAAACAAATTGCTTATTATTTCTAAATTTTGTATTGTGAGCTTGTGATTAAGTAAGGCATTAAAATACTAATTGTATGAAAGATAAGTTAAGAGGGTGAAAATTTTATTATCACCTCATGCTCAGATCACATCACACCCTAAACTCTTAGTCTAATTAGTAGCTAGGGTACATTATTTTGTGATTTGGCTCATCAAAATACTAACGCCAAACAGGTTTTGGTTTCCAATTGGTGGCGGAAAAAGCGAAAAGGATTGTGCATAGTTAGTTCCCATAAGAATTGAAATCGATTTTCTTTTTAATCACATGCGGTACTGTTCACTTTAACGAAAAATCACATTTTTACAGTAAAAAATCAATCAGGGTACTATTCACTTTACCCTTTATCTTGTCATTATCATTAAAACTCAAAGTTTTCAAGCCTTTTTTTATTAGTTTTCCTTATATATTTTCAGGATAATGCTAAGAAGATTTTTTTTTTATTGGTGACATATCTTTTAATTTGCAAATTTAATATAAACATTAGTCTACTTAGCAGTTAGCATTCCTCGTATTCTGGAGAACTACGTTCCAGCTGACCATGTTATTACCCATAATTAAATTATGATTTCAACCACCAGAATCTATCCTATACATCAATTGATTTTGTCATGACACCGACATATATCAAAAAAAAAAAAAAATCAATCGAGGAGGTTGAGTAATGCAAGCTTTTTAGCCCAACTTAGTCCGGGAAACAATAATTAAATTGTGGTAGTTGGGGAATTAGATACATCTTACTTTTGTTCAAAAAATAAAAAATAAACATCTTACTATTAACTTTTAATCTAGTTTATTAATAATGTTTCTCAAGTAGTCATATTTAATCACGCAGGATGTATCAAAACTTTAAATCATCCGGGTACAGCACATGCATGACAGTGGGTTGATAATTACATGCAAAAATGAAAAGTTTGACAAGGATCAATAGAAAAAATTGTATATCACACTACTATGTTTGTTTCCAAAACCAGAAGGTTGATTAAAATGTAAAGCTTAAAAACCAAGAGTTCGAGCCCAGAAAATAAATACAGTGTAGATCGCGAGAATGTGGGTGTGCCACTATTAGAAGCTGATAGTAGACGGATTTCAGGTACTAGAAAATTGCATCTAATTGACTCCTAATCAAAACATTGTGTAATTGAGTGGGGAGGCTCAACTTTGAGTTCTTTTTGCCTTGAATGCTAAGGACTTCAATTTTTCTTGTATTGTAGGAAACTAAGTCACAAAATGATTCAAAGAGAGAAATTGTATTGAAAGACATAGTTATAACGAGAGGAACTTGAAAATGAGAAGCTACATAACAAGATCGAAAGCAAATTAAATCAAGAGCTTTGCCAAAGAAGGCTTGCCTTGAATTTTGAGAGAGAGAGCTTAGAGAAGATATGGTACGTCTTCATGGAAACTACTTGATTCGACAGAGACTTGGAGAAGGAGTGGTACTTCTTCTCTTTGAAATGCTTTGAGGAAAGCTTGCTTTCTTTTAGAGGTTTCTCTTTGAGGGACTTCGAGAGATTTGCTCATAGGGGGCTTTTGTGAGAGAGATTGAATAATCTTGATTTTTATTGAAGTTGTTGGGGCTTTCTCCCTTGCCCATACTCTTCCTTGTATAGTGCTCCATGATGCCCTAGGTCTTCATCAAAATATCTTCAGATTGTGGCTACAATGCAATGCAAAGCTCTCACATTAACAAGATTTTTCACCACACAATGACTATTATGCCTGTAATTATCCACAAGACCTTAAGGCCATAAATCAATCTTAAACTGTCTGATAACATGACAAACGGGTCTTATAGAATTCATGTGAATTGTCAAATTGTAGTCCAAGCACCAAGTATATAAGGTTCTGTTAGGGCCGATGGACATTTGATTAGTGACATTTAGCCTCTATTTTATGGAAAAATGTTCTAGGTTCAAATTTTACAGACAAGAGCTTGTTATAGTTTTTACTTTTGAAAAAGCAGGTAGGATTAATTAACATACCAACTAATTAATTAACATTATGTATCCTTGATTAAGGGGAAAGAATAGAAGTCAGACAGACTCGTAAGTAACACATTGTGCATGTATACCAACCAATTAACATTTAGCGTAGACGTGGTAACTATGTTCTATCTAAATGTTAAAAGTATGGTCCAAATTTGGATTCCGAGAACAGAAAAAATTTATGCACGTTGATATTGAAAATGAAAAACCGACATGAAGTTAGAGTAGGATTATTTCTCCTCCAAATTCTCATTCCCTTCTCTTACAATTGATTTGAACGTTCACGATTAAATCACGTCAACATTTTGTGTTGACTTTTTTGTAGAGAGAGAAAGCCAAAGAGGAAAGTGAAAAAGGATGGGAGAAAAGTAGAAGAGATTTGGAAGGAAGAGAATCCTATTACCATGAAGCCTTTTTTGTAGAGAGAGAAAGCCAAAGAGAAAAGTGAGAGAGGAGGGGAGAAAAATAGAAGAGCTTTTTTGTAGAGAGAGAAAGCCATAGAGGAAAGTGAGGGAGGAGGGGAGAAAAGTAGAAGAGATTTGGAGCGCGTGTGACCGTTTGACTTCACACGTGAGACAACCTGCTTTGATACCAAGAAAAAAGTTGATGTTCCACCATAAAACCAATTGGCAATATGGGGAGTACCCTAACCTATTATAAGCATGTGCAAGGTCTTTTCTCTCATCAATGTGAGATTTATTCTCAACGCAAATTTTCAAACCTAACACGTGGACAACACAACAAGGTGAAGTGGAGCGCGTGTGACTGTTTGACTTCACATGTAGGACAACCTGCTCTGATACCATGAAGAAAGTTGAGATTCCACCATAAAGTCAATTGGCAATATGAGAAGTAGCCCAACCTCTTACAAGCCCATGCAAAATGTCTCCTCTCATCAATGTGAGATTTATTCTAAACATATACTCTACCTGAAATAGGGGGTTTTGTGTTTTCCCTTTTTTGTGGAACCTTAATCCATGGCCACTATACACTATATGGAAAACGGATATACAGTGAGAAGATGAATCGCCACTCATACCACTCCTAATTCAACGGTGAATTATCCAGAACCGTTAATTAATTAACAAAAGAAAATATTAATTGCTGTTGATTAGAAAACTAACGACGAAAAATTTAGTCAAGAGATTTAGAGACCCCTCCAGTTTTAGTGGACCAAAACTTCATGCATCCATTCATATAGGATAGCCAGGTTGACCCTTTAAATAATCAAGATTTGGATTCATTAAGATGTTTAGTAATTAAAGGTAGCACTCTTTAAACGTATAAATGGTGGACACAGGTTTAGTCAGAACGGTTATTGGCATTATCGGTCAGTGAAATTTTGGTCAGCGTTGTGTTTTACCTCTTACTTGTACAATTTTCATTTTGTCATTTTTGCGTTATCAATCGTGACGTATCGAGTTCATTGCATGGGACGACCTGACAAAGAATCAAAGATGCATGCATATATTGTATGTATTATTTGAAAGAAATACATCGGAAATGTTCTCTACATTTTGATAACACTGTTTATATTACGTGCCCATCTAAAAATAATAATCAGGTTGATTTTTGTCTGAATGTGTTATCTTCTGACAAAAAATTATCCAAACATAATCTTCTTTAAATCTAGGTTAAGTTCTTCGAGTATTTCTTTTCTTTTACATTTTTTTCAAGTAAATCCTACATCTCTAATGGTTTTCTTGTTCCATTTATCCCTTGTATCCAGGAAATATCATCTCTTTGATCATGTTTCTCTCCCCAATGTAATTCTCTCTCTCTCTCTCTCTCTCTCTCTCTCTTAATTCTTTGAAATAACAAAACTAATTAATATATAACTGTGTTGATTAATGAATTAAACATCGCAGACCAACATTTTATAGAATAGTAAAGCAAAAAACAGTATCAGATTTCAAGCCGGATCCCTACGTTGTAACATTGCTGAATTGTGCCTTATGGGTCTTCTACGGCATGCCCTTTGTCCATCCTGACAGCATTCTTGTGGTATCAATCAATGGCGCTGGAGTTGTCATCGAACTAGTCTACATTCTCCTCTTCCTCATCTTTTCTCTAGGCTCACAACGCGTAAGTATGTATTGCAATGTGTAGCTTTTACGTACAATAAAAAATTGACGCACTTGTTGATATGCTCCCGAATATAGGCAGCTTTTACGTATAATGATACGATTCACCTCTATTTAAAAGCATACTAACAATGAGTTAGTTTTGTGTACCAAAATGTTATGTTGTTAAATTAATTAATTGAGTATTAATACTTCTTTGTTATTCAAGTTATCTTCTTTGTTATTGCGGTAAAACTTATAACCTAATTTTTCTTTCCTTTTCTTGGATTTCAGCTAAAGATCTTTAAAGCACTTGTGGTTGAAGTTATCTTCTTTGTTATTGTGGTTTTGGTTACCATGTACATTTTCCATACAACTAGACACCGGTCTTTGGTAGTTGGAATCATCTGCATTATCTTCAACATCCTTATGTATTTATCACCCTTGACAGTCATGGTATGTATATATATTTTTCTATTAATTACTAAGCACCCTCAATTAATATTGAATCTCATCATTAGAGAAAAACTTAAGTAGAGTAGAAAGGTTGTGATGGTGTTCGGTGATAATTGCATTACATAAGACCGGACCATAGCCTAATACAATGAGACCCGTTACTTTGTGAGAGTGTGCGATTATTGTTGCCCTACCCAAGTTTCTCTCCACTTCGTTGATCTATGAGTAAATAAATTACATATATTTGTGTATTTTTCTTCTGCTGACTGGCAGCGTATGGTGATCAAGACAAAGAGCGTGAAGTATATGCCATTTTACCTGTCACTTGCCAACTTCTTCAATGGAGTTGTTTGGCTGGTCTACTCACTCCTTAAATTCGATGCCAATATTCTGGTAATTTTATAAACCAAATTAAGTTTCAACGCATATTAATTGACGATATAAGCGCCAAGTAATAAATCAAAGAACTTCTCCTATACAAATATATAAAAAAAGAATCAAAACCTTATATTTAAGTTTCTAACATATTTGTTTGAATAACTTTGGTAGATTCCAAACGGTTTGGGAACGATTTCCGGCGCAGTCCAGCTCATTTTGTACGCCACCTTCTACAGAACCACTCAATGGGAAGACGACGATAATGACAGGCCGCGGTCGGAGGTCCAAGTGTCTAATGTTTAGAAAGAAATTAATTGACAAACAACAACAAAGTTTTGTCCCATTAAATAGGTCGGTTGTTTAGAGAGAAACTAGTTGACATGCATCAATATTTGTTTTTTGTTTTATTTTTTATGGCCAACCAGTTTAGTTCTTGAACCATTTCCTCAATTTTTGTAGGTCTTTGCCTGAATTGTATGTTGTAAGTTAGTCATGAGATAGATATATTACTGCTGTAATTAACTGTATCAGTTGAGGTAATCAATGTCATTTGCATAGTAGCGGTTCTATTAATTTGAACCCTCAAATTAGCTCAGTTGATGCTTCCTTTTTTAAATAAGTTTTATCCAATTTTTGTTCTTCAGAAAAACTAAAACACAAGCTTTTGTGCTCCATAATTATATATAACGGTTGTACATCGCAACTTGAAATTGTTAGGATCCATTTGGCAATGTTTTAAGATAACTAAAAATGTTTCAAACAGTTGTTTCAAATAATATCTTTCAATGAGTCATTTAAATGTTCTTTTTTTTTTTGTGGTAATCTTGAGATGTCATAGCTCCATGCGTCAAAGGCCTGTAACATGAAGACTACCCCATCTATTTTTGGCTCGTTTAGGAATGCTTTCTAGAGGTGCTTCTCCATAAACCATGTTGAATGTATTGAACTGAGAAAAGAAAAAAATGAAGAGAGAGAGAGAGAGAGAGAGAGAGAGAGAGAGAGCTGTATATATAGCCTGTATTATCACAACTGTATATTCTTCTTAGAATTACACTGATCTCTCATACCCTATTTTGTACAAAGAGTAGTTGCTTAACTCCAAAGCAATGCTGTTAGAGTAACTAACTTGATAATTAACCAACTAATCTCCACCATTCATCTTAGAAACAATCTCAACCATACAGCTGTTAATTATCAGAAGTTATCGCAAAAAATTATGTGAATGTTTTGAGGATTTTTTTATGTTGGCCACTAAACTGTTACACCCTAAAGCAATGCTGTTAGAGTAACAAACTCGATAATTAACTAACTAATCTCCACCATTCATCTTAGAAACATTCTCAAGTCTCAACCATACCGTTGTTATCAGGAGTTACTGTATTCACAAAAAATTATGTGAATGTTTTGAGGATTTTTTATTGTTGGCCACTAAACACACTTGAGGTAGGCCTGCCAACACTTGTGAGTTCATACAAATGACGATATAAAAAGATAGTAAAAATAACATTTTTTTTTTTATTTTTATAAGAAAATTTAGAATGTGCTTTGAAATAAGACCACTCTTATTGTTTTTTACCCCCACTCCAATTCTAATCAAGCATTGTCCTTGATAAATTTTGCTTGGTTTCTGGGAAGCAAATAAGTTATGAAAAATCTAGAATTTATTGTCCTGCTAATATTAATCGTGGAATGGCTTTTGTTCTTAGTCGCGTTTGTGGTTCCCCTCTAACTGATGAATTGGGGAAGTATTTGGGAGTTCCGCTCATTCATTTTCGCATCACAAAAACACCTACAGAGGCCTGGTAGAGATGGCTCAAACTCAACTTTCTACTTGGAAGGTGAATTCAGTATCTCTTGCTAGTCGGGCCATTCTTGTTCAGTCTGTCACCTTCGCTATCCCAATATATACTATGCAGATAGTGAAATTACCATCTACCGTTTGTGATCAACTTGACAGGTTGAATAAGAACTTCGTCTGGGGCTCCACTCAATCCAAAAATGAAGTCAACTTGCTTAAAAGAAGCTAAGTTTTTGCCTTCCGAAGTATCCGGGTGGGCTTGGCTTGACAAACATGAGTTTGGGATCATTGTCTGGCCTGGTGCAGATCATTCTATATGCAACCTTCTACCAGACCACCAATTGGGAAGAGGAAGAAAAACCAATAAAACAAGTTCAACTCTGATATTTAGAAGAAATGATACAGATTAGAGAGCTTCTTGCTTCAATATTCTTTATCTTTTTGTAGGACCAACTAATTCTTGAGCTTTTTATTCATTTATTCCATTATTTGTTCTCAAATTTTGAATAAATTGTAAATTGTAATTTGCAATGTTGGTTATATAAAAAGATCTATTTCTCAATTCATTGTGCTGATTTTTTTTTTCTTTGTTTTTTTTTGGGACAAACACTTTCCTGCAGTCAATTACCAAAATAATTCATCAAAGGAGCACACACCAGAAACTAAGGGCGACCTCAAGTCAACAAGACTCCCCGCTTTGTGAGGGTCTTGAAGAATGTCTATCGTACACAATGTCAGTCAAATTAAATAGATACAGAAACATGGTTAATTAAATCATAAATTCATGACAATATAACTAGTATATAATGGATCTTACAAGGAGCTGGTAGTGCCAGTCAAATTAATACACATTCGTTTAAGGAAAAGGAAAAAAAAATGGGAACAATATTAAATAAAAGCTTTACATCCTCCAAGATAATAAGAGAAATAGCATTGCTCGTCAAACGTATACCCAGAAGCCATTACCCACCACTACCTTTCTGTTCATCTCCTTTTGATTTTCCAGATATCTTTTCTTCTGTTTGCTATCTTAAGTACAAATTGGGCTCTTTTGATATTAAAAACAATCATATCCCAACTGGTATTTCAATGAATAAATCTTCACGGTCCTCTTTTCTTTCGAAAGCAAAGACAGCCCTGAGACTGATCTTGAGGGATCATACCTCCGCCTTTCGATGTGTCGATCGCCTCTAACATTGTGACTACCTCATCCATCTCCGGCCGCTTGTCTGGGTTCGCATCCCAGCATCGCTTCATTACGTTTGCAAGCGCACTTGGACAACATCTTGGTATCTCCGGTCTCAAATTCTGTAATTGCAGAGAGGCGTAAATGAAAGGATTAATTTCAAGTGACACAAAAATGACAACTTGGGCGTATGGTTGAGAGAGGAGAATGGTTAACCTGGCGAACCACAGCTGAAGTCACTTCCGAGAAACTAAGGTCAGGATATGGCATATCACAGCAATATATTTCCCATAAACAGATGCCGAAACTGTACACATCACATTTCCTGTTATACGGGTTGCCATTGAGGACCTGTCACCCATCCATTTGGCAAGTCATTAAGCATACAGTAAACAATTCTTTTATTGTATGCTTCCTATCTCACATAAATATTAGCAAAACTGCCCCCGTTACGTCAAGCGAAACAGGGTTTGGAAATGCCAAAGTTTCATTTTCATGCAATGAGAGAATCGTATTAAAACTACATGCGCATACACACGTGATTACCGACTCCCTAAGATTCAAGAAACGTAGCTGGTAAGGTGGTGAAGTCGTAGCCAGAATAATTTTAGCTACTAAAGTAGACCAAATACCTCAGGAGCCATGTAACCTAGTGTGCCAGTCTCCCCAGTCATGTCATTGGGATTTGAAGCTTCAACACGAGCAACACCAAAATCAGCAATCTTGACCGCACGAGTCTTGTCCAGAAGCATGTTCTCTGTCTTTACATCTCTGTGGACAATCTTCTGTGAGTGTAGGTAGCTCAACCTATAAAGTACAGCACAAGTAAGTCTAAGTGCTTGGCTTGACAATAACGCAGCCTGAAGCTCACTCTTTATCTACTAAATTACAATGCTCTAAGAAAAAGGGAAATTAATAGTAGCATAAGAACTGAAAAGGGATACCCTCTAGCAAGATCTAGTGCCAGCTGGACAACGACTTTAAAAGCTAACTTCCTTCTCCTATTCTTTATGAGGTACGATTTTAGAGCACCCCCAGGAAGATATTCCACAACGACACAACAGATATTAGTTGGCATGCCAATTTGACCATTTTCGGTCTGTATTTGTAGATCTGATGAACCCATTGTCGCCCCAATAAACTGGACATCAACAGATCAGAAGTTTAGCGAGATTCAATCTATAATACAAACTACTAGAAAGCAATTGCAATGTGTATCATATCTCTGGAAATCAAAAGATAATCACAAACATTTTATGCGTGCATTTAATGTACTGAAGCAGCATTAAGGTTTTGAACTTCTTGTAGCCTGTTAAATAGCACGGCAAATTGTCGTATGTATGATGTCTGGACAAAAGAAAATGTAGCATGTATTCACTACTGCGCAGATATTTAAAAAATCATCACTTAACTTATTTGCTACCTGATATTGCTAAGTAAATTCTGAAAATTCATGATACAAAAACTAATGCTTCTACCTCACTCAGGTGGTGAGAGATGCAACCGAAGGATACCAAAGAAAAGGAAGGCAACTGTCTCGGGTACGGTTGCAACCTTAGGCTGTGATAAATCAAGGAGGATAACGGTACGCTGACTGGAGAACAATTGTATAACTAGGAATTAGAAACCTCTGCGTGGTCCGTGGGTGGCCTATGGATAACCGCAGAAAAACCAACCCTAGTGAAGTGACATAGTGAATGTCTTTAATGTTGCATATGCTAGAGGCTTTCTTAAAACAAAGACATTCGGGTGTTGATATTCATAAAAGTTAGAAGAATCGATCAAATCCAAATGACACTTCCGAAAATTCTTAAACAAGAGAGGTGGAAAGTTACCTTAGTAACATTAGGATGATCTAGTTTATGCCAGACAGCAACTTCTTGAGTAAACGCTGCCCTTAGAGAAGCAATCTCGGAGTCTGTCCTGTGACCCTCTTCACCCCAGTCAAGCAATTTAACTGGCATTAAAAAATGGAGCCGTCATTATAAGGGTAAAATTTGCAACCCGATTGTGTATCATCACGAACCAACAAAACGAAAAAAGGAAGAGAAGAATACAAAGAACCGAAAAGGTCATAATTTGGTTGGATTAGAAGATGATGACGACAGCAACTACAATAATGTGGTGACAAATAAGGAGTTTCGCTAACATAAATACGTATGGATGAACATTTTTCCTATTTGGTTGTTGAATAAGTTTCAACTAACAGGTGGGGAACTCACATGAAAGTCAGGAATACAGCAACATTATCCAAGTTGTTGCTCTCAACAGAAAATTCAACACAAACCCGTGTAAGAGTCACGGACTCCATAAAAGTAC